CTCTTCCTCAGGGGCCGCCCTGCCGGCGGCGGCCTCAAGCCAAAGCCTCTCCCGCTCCTCAAACTCCTTCCTCTCCCTCTCTGCCTTCTCTGCCTCCGCCTGCTCTAGTAATCTGAGCCGGAGCTGCTCCTCCGGATCGTTTAAGCGGGATTCCTCTGCCTCCCTCTCCCTGATTGCCGCATCTGTTCGAGCCTGCTTTCTCTTTAACTTCTTCAGAGCTTTACGCTTCTCCTTCCTCGACTGCTTTATGCTGCTCACAGCGACCATCTCCTCCGGCAGCATTTCGCCCGGTAACAGATTTGAGAAAGCAGGGCCCAGCTAGGGCTCAAGAAACAGTCCGTGGCTTGCCCGAAAAGACCGCGAAATCTCCGTCCAAGGCTTCGGAGTAAAGATCAGTGACCAGTCGGATTTCGCCGCAGTCGAAGATCGCGCCGGCAGGGTTTTCGAAGGAATACCTGTAGAATCGGCGATGGAAGGACGCGCCACAGAAAAGGTGGCATTTGTGAGTGAACTGAAGCTAAATTATATTATTTTATCTGAGCATAAAAAAGAGTATTTCACTTTTTTTTTTTTTTAAATTCAATTAAATAGTGATATGCCTTATTTAAAAGTGATGATTTTGATGATATAAATATAAATATATAGAATTTAGATGTTAGATATTTAAATAAAAAAAAATGGGTGGCATATATAAAAATTGAATTTCTTTATAGTAATAATATTTTTGATTTTGATGAGAAATGAGTGATTAGATATGTAAATTAGATAAAATTAGATTGTATGTATGTAAGTCCCTAGCTATTTTCAAAAATTTGGGTGGCATGTATTTCTTTAAACATGCATCACAAAATAAACAATTGATTTTAATTTTTAATTAAAGAAGAAAACTAGTACAATTCATATAACCTATGAACCTAACAGTTCCTTAGATCCGTAGACGGTTTGTTGGTTCAGAGGTTGAACCGCCTGCTCAATCTGATTTTTGATGGTTTCATATGATAGGGGATTTTTATTTCAACAGGAACCGGACCTTTAGTTGGTTCACGATCGAACCAACTGACTCGATATTTAACCCAATTTATATATATTATATTAAAAGGAGAAAAACTAAACTTTAACCTCAATTATTTATTAAAAAAACTTAAAATAAGGCTAAAAAGTTGTTATATTCATAAAAATAAGATTAGGTTACCATGCACAACTATATACCTGATATAAGCATTAAAAAGTCATTGCATTTATTACATAATCTTTTTTAGGGGGAAATCTCACCTTCTTGGTCCATCCAACGGCCAGTCTCGAGTGAAGCACTCAAGCTTAACAGTGAACTTATGAGTCGAGTTCAAGTTTATAATGGCTCGACACAAGCTCAAGTTCGAGTTCTTAAAGGCTTGATACAAGCTCAAGTTCGAGCTTCTTTTTTAACAGAATAGTCAAGCTCGACTGGACTCATTTTCACACCCGTAAATTTCGTACAAAGTGCTCAAAACTATTAATATTATGTATCTCACAGCAAAATTTCAAAATTTAAATCACAAGCATTCAAAATATTCAACTAACAAAAAAATTAACACTTACCATTAACACTGTCATTAGAACGAGGCGCAAGGAGTAGAAAGTTGATAGTTTTTGAGGTCCTTGTATGTTGGATCCCATTGCCAACAAACCAAACAACGCGATCCTGTCCACACCGAACTTAACTGAGATCCGTCCTCTTAGAACCAAAGGAGAAGAACAATGGGAGTTTCAGAGACTTTGTGGATGCAATCCGATCGTTGAACCAAAGGAGGACAATGATAGGCGTTTTTTAGGACTTTGTACGCCATAATCCTATAATCGTCGAATCGAAGGAGGAGAAGGATGGGAGTTTCTGATTTCTTTGTACTTCGTCATCTTGTCGCCGCAAATCTCGTCCTACACAGCAATCCCGTCTCTATTTTCACTTCTGGCGAGATCATTTAACGTCGTGACACTAGGTGTTTAGGATGTAAATATTGAAGTTAGGGTGTGAGTGTTGACCTCACTTTTGGGTGAGGGTTTTGGGTCTTTCCTTTAGTGACTAGAATCTAGCCTTAGGACTTTCCTGATAACTATCTTAGCATCTTAGAAATGATCTTAGAAATGGTACCCACATTCACATTCTCCTTAGACATTTCAACCAAATCATTGTTCTCTATGTTGGTTTTATATGTGATCAATAATCTTTAATACCAAGATTAGAGATAACATAAAGGAACCCTGATGAGAATTCCTATAGGACCTTAGAACCATAGGGAAGTCTTACATTATTCTACACCTTTTTGGACTTCAATACATTATGTCATCATTCATAATCATCATGATAGTAAAAAAGATTGCATTTTCATATCACAATATTGCAATCATTACACTCATAGGGCTGACCAAAATTATTTGAACACAATTTCCCCTAAAATACCCCACTTAAATATTTCAATTCTTCAAAATTTTCCAAAACTGTCATTGAATCACAAAATTCACTTCAAAGCATTTGATATTATCATTTAAACCATTTGAAACCAAAAAATTGCAAAAATACCCAAAAATACCCAATTTTCCCAAAAATTACCAAAATACGCCCGGACCATCAAAATATCAAATTTTCCAAAATCTCTCAAAGTCACCGATAATGCATAAAAATCACACCAAATCATTCTTTATATCTTCCCGAGAATTTTGTCTATAATATTGTCATACTTCCGAACAACTTTTTGGCACCTCGACACCAAAATAACGAATATTTAAAAAATACTTCATGGATCATAAAATCTTCCACATTGATTGAAAATGACCCCAAACACTGTCGTTTGACTCCAAATTTCTTCCTGAACCACCTCGAGCCGTTACATCAATCTTTTGACCATTTTGTCAAAAGTCGGCCAAAATTACCAAAATGCCACTTATGGATCAAAAATTCTCAAATCCTCCAAAATCATTTCAAACACCCTTAAAATCAATTCTTGACCATCCATTTGATCTAACTCACCAAATTCACTCACTTTGGCCAAAATCCCTAAATTGAGCTTAATGATCAATCAAATACCTCAATTTTAAATTCACATTGAATTCAACATGTCTAGATCCAATTTCAATTGAATCCAAATCCATTTAATTGGCCCATGATCAATTTCCAAAATGATCGATCGCGAACCAAAAATTCGACGAAAATTAAATTTGACACTTTTTTTGACTCGATCGCAGAAAAAGTGGTTCAAACGACCCTGGATGACGAAATGGACCGCGCGAGCATGTTCGAAACGTCGATCTCACCTAGGGAGAACGTTCATTTCACCGCGATGACGCGTTCGGCGAAAAATGCACTGAGAGATTTAAATAATAATAATAATATTATTATTATTATTATTATTATTATTAAAAAAATAAAAACAAAATTAAAATAAATCCTCACGCATGCATTGGCTAGCTTATCCATCCACTTTCACTCAGGCACGCCACATTTTATATATATATATCATGTATATCATATTACTCACGCATGCTTCCCTTTCACACACCTTCACTCTCTCCTCTCTCTCTCCCTCTCCCTATCACTCTCTCCCCCTCTCTTTCTCTCTCACGCATGCATCTAAGAAAAAAAAAATTAAAATCAAATCCTATACAATCAATTATCACGCATCTCTCTCTCTCTCTCTCTCTCTCTCTCTCTCTCTCTCTCTCTCTCTCTCTCTCTCTCTCTCTCTCTCTCTCTCTCTCTCTCTCTCTCTCTCTCTCTCTCTCTCTCTCTCTCTCTCTCTCTCTCTCTCTCTCTCTCTCTCTCTCTCTCTCTCTCTCTCGGCTAACTAGTTGTAGGATAAAAAATAATTTTTTTATAAAACAAAATCTCTCTCCCTATCCCTCTTCCTCTTCTATATAAGGAAGGTGAAATCCTCTCCTAAAACAAGATCAAAAACCTCCCCACACTCTTTTCCTTCTTCACTACACACAACAGCAACTCCCCCTCCCTCGTCGGAAAACGCCAACGTCGCCGGAAAAGCAAAAATCGAGCTAAATTCCAGCGAACCTCCAACCCGGCGCAAAAATCACGTCAAATCGATGTCTTACCTATTCAAACTTAATTGAGAACAAATCTCTTAGGCTCAGGTATATCTCTTAAATTGAAACGATAATCTCAAACTTCCCTTCCTTCCAAATCAAAAAATAGACCACAAAACACTTAAGTATCCATATGGATGTGATCTACTATTCGATCTGAACAAAACAAGCCCAAGAATGCGAAATTTGGTTGAGAATCGGCGGAGAACGAACTCTAGGAAGTTTCAGCCGTCGGAATCCTTCTGTTTGTCGCGGGTATCGTCGCGGGAGTTAGATATTACTGTAGCATTTTTTTTTAATTTTTTTAATTCCAATAATTATAACTTAATTTCAAAATTACATAACTTTTTGTAGAAAACTCCAAAACATAAACCAAAAGATGCTATGAACTTAGAAAAATGAGGAGAATTTTTCAAAACTGAAATCATAATTTTTCATCAACTAAATATTTTTAAATTAATTTTTGAATTTTTGGAGTATTTAAATCATAAAAATTAAATATAAATGGTAAAAATATGAAATTTGGCAGAGACATTAAGTGGCTTGGAAACAACCTTCTTGGATTTTTTCAAGTCATTTTAATTCCTCTGTAAGGAGATTTCTTTTTTTTTAAGTGAAATGGGTCATTTTAAATAATTAAGAAAAATAAGAAATGTGGGATTTCCAAATCCCCCTTGATTTTGTTCTTTGACTTTAAACAGATCTTGAAAAAACATGACTTTAAACAGATCTTGAAAAATTTAAAACCATATTTAAAACCATTTTAATAATCATAATTCAGTAATTAGGAGTCATTTTGATTTTTCTGTAGGGAGATTTTTTTTTAAGTGAAAGGGGTCATTTTAAATAATTAAGAAAAATAAGAAATGTGGAATTTCCAAATCCCCCTTGATTTTGTTCTTTGACTTTAAACAGATCTTGAAAACCTTAAAACAATTTTTAAAATCATTTTAATAATCATAATTCACTAATTAGGGGAGTATGTTTGAGTTAGGTTAGGTTGGCCTAACCCGAGCTCAAGTTAAACCTAGTCTAGCATTTTTAGGGTTCATGTTGGTCTCCTAGCATTAGTGAGAGTGATATGAATTCATCCCCTTAGGGTGAACCCAATTTAAGCCCAATACTTGATTAGCTAACTTTGGGCTAAACCTAAACCTTAGGTTAGTTAACCCTAAACCAATAGGATTAATTAACCTAAACATTAGGTTAGTTAACCCTAAACTAATAGGATTAGTTAACCTAAAACTTATGTTAGTTTAATTTAACCCATAAGATTAGCTAAGCCTAAACATTAGGTTAGTTAACCCTAAACCAATAGGATTAGTTAATCCTAAATTAATAGGATTAGTTAACCTAAACATTAGGTTAGTTAACCCTAAACCAATAAGATTAGTTAACCCTAAACTAATAGGATTAGTT